GAACCTTATCCTGCGAGCTGTCTTATACATGATGACCAGACTGTAGCCATGACATAAGCTGCCACAGTTCCAAGAACTGGCCTCAAGAAATGGAAACAAACCGACCCTGGAACTGAAGATTAACTGTACTTAAAACAATCAAGATGACACTGGTCAGACCACCGATGACCAATTTTAAGATGACTGTCAGGGCTGACTGTGCTCTTTCTGCATGTAGCCCCCTCCATTCACCTATAAAAGCTCTTGCCCCATGACTGTCGCGGGGAGGGGGGAGCCGGCCTTTGGACAGGTTGCCGGCATCCAAAACAAAGCAAGCTTTCCTTTTCACCAACCTTGCCTCTTTATTGGCTTTTAAGCAGCGAGCAGCCGACCAGACTTTCAGTTACAGTGTAACAGTTATTTTGAAGGGTCAGCATTTACAAAATTCCAGAGAGTGCATTCTTTGTGACTTCTTAACGTGATGGAAACCTTTAGAAGTGCAAATTAATGTACAAGTAACTATGGAGTTGTCTCCAAAAATATTATGATGCATGAGATCAAAGAAATTTAAGAGCTCAAACACGAGGAGAACATAATTGAAAACTGCCTTGCTTCGTAGATTACCTTTAGAGCAAATGCTTTGGTTATTTCACCATTTCTTACATTCTTTGCTGTTAGCAGATTCTCTTTTTTAGAATCAGCATCTCCATTCTTCTTTGAGAATTTGTCATAAGAAATTGCTAGGGAATTTTGCCAAATGCATTTTCAGCACTTGTTGGTAAATGTGACTTTCTGCTTTCCTTTATTAACATGATGAAGTTGATCAATTTTCCTCATTTAGACCTATCCTTGTGTTCTTGAAATAAATACTCATGACCATCTTTGTTAAATGGTACAAGTAATTTTATTAATCAAGGTGGTCTTCAGTTTTTGTAGGAGAATGCCCTTCTTCGCAGGAGAGGCAGGTCCAAGCATCTAGGCATATGCAATTCGTAAAGTCTGCCACTGATTCTCAAGTGATTCGGCAAACCATAATAGTAGCAATAATAATAATAATAGCAACAAATGATGTGAACATGTACCAAAGTTACAACAAAATGTTAATTTGTTGACATTAAGGAGGGTAGATGAGTGTTCATTGTGTTTTAACATTTTACACACTTGGAAATTGCGATTAAATGTTTTTAAAAGGTAAGATTTTATTTGCTCACTATGTTAGGAACTTTACAGTGTAGGTTTTTGAGTTGGACTATGCCCCAGTTTCATCATGGAGATTTTTATGGGTGCTGGGGCTGAGGTAACATTACCTTTGGAAAAAGGTGCCTTTGGAAATCTTCTAGACTGCAAAGCAATAGGCCGCTCGGGCTCTTTAGGTGGAGGTGTGAATACGTTTCTCTTATCTTCCAGCGTGATTTATATGTCTGCTGCAACTTTCTGTCGCTTCTTGAATCCATTTTGGTAACTTTTCAAGGAAACCATCCCTTTAACCTAAATTATCAGGTATTTTGATATGAAGTTGTACATTACCTTTTTTTATAATTCTTTTTACCTGACTATATTTCTTGTATTGTTCACCAAATACTCATTTTTTTTTTTATTGTTTTGACAGAGTTGATCTATCTGTCACCATTTACAAGAGCAAGCTTTTAGTTTTACCCATCAGGCGTAGTACTGTACTTGATTTTGAATTTAATCTAGGCTTTTAAATTTCCTCCTTTATTTCCATTGATTTTATTTATTCTAGTTTCTTAGACTGAATGCATATTTTCAGTCTTGCTAAGTAAGGAAAGCACTTATACTTTACTGAAAAAATGAAATAGAGATGCCTTAAAAGAAAAAAAAAATCTCTTGGTGGGCATGACATCACAAATTTATGGTAAGTGACCAATTCAGAGAATATATTTTACACACATAGAGGATAAAGAGTTAATATCCTTCATAAACAAAGAATATCAACAAATTAAGGAAAAAGAAAGAAAAACAGACAAAGGACATAACAGGGAACTCACATCTAAGGAACTGCAATGATCAATGAATCTAAAAACACATCCCTGACCTCATCTAGTAATGATGAAAAGAGCATCCATACAATGATTTCCAAGCACACCACACAGTTATACGCAAAAAATTGTAGGTTCCTTTACCTGGTATGAACCGCAGCTCTTGAACCACCAAAAAAGTCAAACTCCTTTCAAGATGAAACAACAAGCACAGCTCTTTGTGTTACTTTTATAGGTGACAGCATCTTGATTGGATAATTGCAATAACATGGATTCTATGGACAGAATCTATTCTTTTTCACCCATCGGCTTAGCTTTCTCCCAATTCATCCAATGATGTAAGATGCTGGGGGTGCTGAGGACGTTCCTTAAAGGAGAGCCTGGTAACAAACCCTTGTTATATAGTGGTTAAGGATCATGTACTTGTGTGAAACACTAGGAAATCATAGGTTTCGTTTTTCCCTGTCTGTTGATGGTGGCAGTTTCATTCGGCTTCACCTGATAATGGTTTGGTCAAGACGAGGGAAATCTCCTTCTCTTCTGCCACCCACTTTCTACCAGGGTTTCCCAACTTCCCTGAGCTTGAGAATCCCCGAGGCTCTTATAGAAAGCACAATTCACCTGGTGCTCCATGGAGGACTCAGCAGCAGAACCAGGTGTGTGGAATTTCCACGGCACCAGGGGCTTCTTAATATCAGCAAATGTTGGGGAAACACTGCTTAAAATCATTCACTCTATGCTTCTTTATTCACAGCTTCATGAATGTACAAATGAGGTACAAAAAGCAGCACATATTTAAAGTGTACAATTCATTGAATTTTGGCATGTATGAACCCATGAGAGCATCAGCTTAATTAAGATAAAATAAACATACCCATCACCCCGAGTTGGCTTGTGCTTCTTTGCAATTTGTACCTCCCTCCTTCCTACTCGCAGACAACCACCAATCTGCTTTGTCATTAGAAATGATTTTTCATTTTATATAAATATAAAATATAAACAGCATCCATCATGTACTCTTCTCTGTCTGGCTTGCTCCCTCAGAATAATTATTTTGAGATTCATTCACGTTGTCTTGAGTATCAACAGATTCTTTTCATGTTGAGTAGTATTCCACTGTATGGATAAATCATAGTTTGTTTATCCATTCCCTCTGTAGATGGATATTTAGATTGTTTCCAGTTGAGACCATTACAAGTAATTTTAGATAATTAAAGAGGTACAACAAAGGAGAAATGACTTTTCCCTTTTCATTTGAAAATTTTCGCTAGGAAAAAGTTGAATATGGCAGATGGTAATAAAGAAGAGAAAAGAAACACCCTACGCACATGGAGAAAAAGACTGTCAGAAAATGCACCATCCTTATGTTTGGGAGGTGGGGACTTGAATATTATTTTCTCACAGATTTTCAATCTCAAAAGTGTAAGACACTTCAAAATCATCTAGGTGATGTATCGGTAGTTCAATGGTGAAAAATTCAAGGAAAAAACTTATAGCTGTTTAAAAAAAATGTAGCAAATATGAGAGATTGTCACAACAGCTGGCATCCACACAGCCGGCTCTCCCTCCCTGCTGCTGGACAGCACAGGGATTCTCCCTTTTGGAAATGTACTTTCATGTCCTGTATCCTTTAACCAGGTCTCCTGGATATTGATATATATAATAGAAATTTTATTTTTTAACATTTTTTTTTGATTGCAGAGTCCTGGGAAATTTGGGAAAATAAAATATCCAAGTTCAAAGAGGGTCATTAGTTATTCCATCTCCCAGAAACAATCACCATTAATGATGGTTTCCTTTTCTGTTTCTATCTTTTTCACATCAGTTAGGGATGGTAAGATATTTCATTGTCTATTTCTGTTGTATCAAGATTTTTGAACAATTCTCCATTGTTGGACATTGTTTTCAGTTTTCCCCCATTGTAAATGGTTCTCCTTGAATATATCTCTTTACATTTATCATACACAACTCTTTTAGATTTTTAAGTTCTGTTCTCATTTTTTTAAGATTTTTTTTTGATTGGACCATTTTTAAAGTCTTTATTGAATTTATTACAATATTGCTTCTGTTTTTTTATGTTTTGGTTTTTCAGCCATGAGGCATGTGGGATCTTAGCTCCCTGACCAGGGATCAAACCCGCACCCCTTCCATTGGAAGGCGAAGTCTTAACCACTGGACTGCCAGGGAAGTCCCTGCTCTCATTTTTAATTCAAGAGCTCCTGCTTTTTTCTTACGGATCCTTTATAGCACCCTATTGTTGTTTCTATTATGCAGTATGTTCTAAGCATCTGAAAATGTCAATTACATAGTTGAAAGATATTTCTGTTTACTGCTCCCTGCACTCTCTGTGCCCTCTAAAGTCTTTTGAGTTTGCAAGTCATCGCAGAGGCATTCCCAAAGGGTCCTAGTCTCTGGGCTTTCCCTTCTCATTTCAGACTGAGGACTTCAGGGCTGTTGAGTGGGGCTTGTTGAATGGCAGGATTTCCATGGTGAGTAGGTTGAGCCACTGTTTTCATTATGGGATCCCTACATGTTAGGGGAGAAGGAACCATTTTTCTTTGGCCAGTTAACTTAGGAAAGATTCTCCCGATCTCCCGCCTGAACTGTAGGACTGGGGACACATAAGAAAAGCAGGACAGCAGTGGTGATTCCCCTTTGGTGAATGATCATGATTAAAAGGAAGCGGTCACCTTTACTGAGTGATTACCTCCTTGGATTCATGTACACAGCAGGATAGCTTGGTTCAATTAAGTTCACGTCACCAGGCATGTATAGTTATAGTTATAAGGGGAGGAAAAGGTAATTCCAAGAGGAAGCCCAACAGAGACAAGAAGTCGAGGCACTGTGGGAGAGTAAAGAGACCTCAGCATCAGAAGGGTGGACGACACCATCACATTGGAGAATGGTCAGGTGAGGGATGCTAGGGAAATTGACCAAGGATGATAGGGGCTGTGTGGTGCAAGAAAGGGATGTCTGAAGGGATGTTCTGGGGACTCACAGGTAACAGTGATGAAAAGTTACAGGACAGGACCATGGACAAGATCGGGGCATTGCAAGTGAGGAGGGCCATGAGCTGGGCACCTGTGGTCTTGGGTGGGTCACCTGTGTGCACATGAAAATCTGCAGGAGTTTCGTGAAAAGCCAGAGCGAGAGGCAGCAGCTGGATCTTCAGTGATCGTTGGAAGCGAGCTGCAGAAACAGGGAAGAGAAAATTGGTTCATTTATCTGGTGCAACCTTGAAAGAACAGGAGCTTCTGCAAGAAGATCTCAAAGAGGCAATAGGGAAGAGAAACATTCCAAATCAAATAAGCTTTTTAAAAGCCAGAGTTTATTTCTATTTAAATCTTTAAATTGTCCCAAGTCCCAAGGATTTCCAGGTTTAAGATAATATTACAATCAGGTGATAACTGTTGGTTCCTCCATTTCTAAAGCCTCACAAGGATCCCGAGCACTTCTGCTCCTTGAAAATTTTTCTTGTATGAACGCTGATACCTTGTTAGCTTCATGCAAGTACATCAGTCCAGTGAGGAAGAAAAACACAATGCCGGTAACAATCATTGTCTTTACAAGGGAGAAAGGGGTATGGCCAGAGAAAAAAGTGATCAAAACACCGCCGAGTAACAAAATTATTATTGCAGCATAGAACAAATAGAAGCATATCCAGAATCTATGTGAAAACTCTTCTTGCGTTATTCTTTGAAACCAGGTCCACTGACGATTAGCTTGAAAAGATGGGATCATGATGAGTTTTAGCTGCAGGGATTAGAGGAAGAAAAAAGTTAAGTTCAGATAAATCAAAAGGTTGACCGTGTGGCTTTGCTTTTAGATGAAGTTTCAAATTCCATTCATGCTAAGTTAAAGTGTCCTGGTGATATAATACAAAGGGCTAGTGATTAAGACAACCTGGGAGTTGGCTTCCAAGGAACGTTGCTAGAAGATCAGGGATGATTGGTATTTAATCCTTATTTATTTTAAATATTTCTTTCAATATCTTCATGAAGCTATTTATCACAAAATTCTGGATCCTTTTCAGAGAGACCACTAGTGAATTGGGTATGTCATGTAGTCCTGAGGTTTGCTAGCAGGTATGTAAAAACTCAGAGCACACATTGCATTTTATGGGAATATCAACATTACTTGGCGGTATACCTAAGATTGTTAATCAGATACAGATGAAACGGAACACAAAGCAAGAGCCCCATTATTCAATTTAGACACAGATGGAATAGAATGGAATGGAATACGTGCTAAAAGCAACATGCACTCCAGACAAAACATAACAAGGGAACTTTGACCTGCAGCACAGGGACCTGTGTTTTCCTCTCCTCTGCCAGTAGGAGGACCTGAGTGCAATGTTCAACATGCAAGACTGAAGGAAGCTTCCAGCTGTTTCCCACTGATGCTCTTGTCCTTGCCTGAGTGAACTGAAGAGGAGTCCTGAGTTCACCAGACTTCCAAAGGGCCGCTTGGGAGGGGCAGAGTTAAGGAAAGAGTCAGTAGGTAACTCTTGTCTTGACTGGCATTTTAACAGACAGATGGGCCACTTACTGTCTCTGGACCATGGAGGACCCACCTGATGATGGACATGATTTCTAACTAATGTGGTTAAGAGCCACGATCTCAACTGAATCAAGGGATTTACTTCTCCCCATCAGTATATTATTATTATTAATCATTTTTTAAAGATTTGTTTGATGGCCATTTTTAAAGTCTTTAATGAATTTGTTACAATATTGCTTCTGTTTTTGTTGTTGTTGTTGTCCGTTTTTGCAGTACGCGGGCCTCTCACCGTTGTGGCCTCTCCCGTTGCGAAACACAGGCTCTGGACACGCAGGCTCGGCGGCCATGGCTCACGGGCCCAGCCGCTCGGCGGCATGTGGGATCTTCCCGGACTGGGGCACGAACCCGTGTCCCCTGCACCGGCAGGCGGACTCTCAACCACTGCGCCACCTGGGAAGCCCCTGCTTCTGTTTTATGTTTTGATTTTTTGGCCACGAGGCATGTGGGGTCTTAGCTCCCCGACCAGGGATCGAACCCCAACCCCCTGCATTGGAAGGCAAAGTCTTAACCACTGGACCACCTGGGAAGTCCCTTATTATTAATCTTTAGTTCCTGAGGTATATAGTCCACTTGATCAACAAATCCTGGTGCTGGCACATTTTGTTACATTTCAAGAAACACTTAAGAGGCATACCCCACCTCAAGATTATAAAGCGTTACATTTTAATAACTATGGTATTCATTTTAATCCATTCACAATTTTTGTACTTTTGCATGTAAAGGAACTCTATATTCCCCCCTAAATGAATAGCCAAGTAGTCCTCTACCATTTATGGAATATTTCATCCTTGCACATTATTTTGAAATCCTGCTACCCCTATCATATTGAATAACTCTATACTACAAGATGTGTTTTGACACCCTATCTTCTTTTTACATCTAGTCTTTTGCCAGTCCCAAATTGTACTGATTTAGATCCCATTTTGTGATCTCGTAGAAAGTATTCCTCAACAACCTGTCTGTTAGACTTCTCCTGGCACAGGAAGAAAAGTCAGGGCTTATAACTGAAATTGTGACAGAAACAATTTCTTAGAAAGATATTAGATTGTATAAGAAGTCTTCCTTTTCAGGAAGGGCTCACTACTGAGTTCATCTTTCTAGTCCTCATTACTGTTTTATGCTCATTTCTTATTTAATATTTATGCTTCTGTGTATAACACAACTACATAATTATATCAAATGATATGGTTAACCCTATATAATGATTGAGAATTTTATCCATTCTATTTCTAACTGGCAATTACTGCCATAAAAGAAAACTACTAAAGTTGTGTACCATTGCTTATCACCAGCCATTTAAATTTGTTGCACTAATTCTAAAACTCTTCACTTGAATCCTGGCTTCTCTAGGTATACAGTCATAGGAATAATTTTTCCAATCATTTTACTATTTTGTTTTCCTATTTTATTACATTGTTTACACCAGTGGTCTTCAAATGGACCCACATGTACCCTCAAGGGACACAAAGACCATCCATTCATGTTTGGAAAGCTCCATCAAGCTCCACATTCTCAGCCCCCTGTTGTCCTTCCTACAGCTGCTCTGCCTGCAATCAGGGCATCCCTTTGGCAGGTGCCCTTCTCCGTCTTCAGAGAAGAATCATCCCTCTCATATTTATCTTGCTGTGCATCGCATCAGGGTAGGTATTAAAAAAATATCCAGGGCACCAAATGTAGGCACAATTCAAAATGTGGACATCTATCTTAATAAATGACTAATAACTGGGTAACAGATAGTTTTACAAGCAGAAGTCACTTTTTTTTTTGCTGTTAAAAACTGGAGTAATCAATGAAGTTTTCAGCTCAGGAAAAATAACTCGATAAAAGATCATTTTGTGATTTCTGCATGTAACCTTGAAGGAGTCCAAAATATCAAGTGACATCACTATACATTCCCATCTTTCTATATGTGTGAATAAGTTTCTTTCATTTGTCTGTGAAAAGTAAAAGCAAGAAGTGTAATGATGCTGAAATTGGTCTCATCCTAGCAGTGAGAATTCTCTATGTAAACGTGAATTTTAAAAAGGGAAAAGAAAAAAAGAAAGAACATGTTAAAGAAAGAACGTATTAGGGACTTCCCTGATGGTCCAGTGGTTAAGAATCTGCCTTCCAATGCAGGGGACGCGGGTTCGATCCCTGGTCAGGGAACTAAGATCCCACATGCCACGGGGCCACTAAGTCCACATGCCACATACTGAGCACGTGGGCCACAACTAGAGAGAAGCCTGTGTGCTGCAACAGAGAATCCCGCGTGCCACAAGGAAGATCTGACGCAGCCAAAAATAAAAATAAACAAATAAATATTTTAAAAAAGAAAGAACATATTATTAGATCATTGAAAATGAAGCCCTTACCAAGTGTCCTTTTCATATTAATAACACGATTTGTAGTACATTGTTTTTGATCACATGTATACTAATTGTATTTGTAACTTAGAAGAAACTTAACACCTAGAGTCTTACAGTCAAAAAAATTTTAAATTGAGGCTTACATACACACTCTTACTGCAGAGAACTATGATATGTTGATCAAAAAAGATTTAAGGCATAACGTATTACATTAGGACACAGCTCTAGGTGGGAATGCATGGAATAAAAAACAAGTTGAAGAAAAAGGAATGATGTGAAGTTTCAGATTGTTGATGAAGAGCCCAGTTCATGTATATTTCAAACAGTTGATGGAGTTAAAGATTCAAATTCAATGCATTCATTTGAAAGTGGTGTAGCAGTTACTTTTGAAACATCAACATTTATAATATGTCAAAGCATCCGTTGTGAATAATTTAATTTACGATGAACTGCTTTAGAAGTCAACTTAATATATAATGAAAGACAGAATTGTCCTCCAAAAATGTTATGGCTCTTGGGATCAAAGAAATTGAAGATCTCAAACACAGTGGCGAATAAGAACACTGGAAACCATAGAACTGTGTATATTACATTTCTCGGAAACCCTCTGTTCATTTCTCATGCTCTTTGACAAAAGCTGATTCTCTTTCGCACATTTAGAGAACATTTCTATTCTTCCTTGACAAACTGGGATGAAAATTTCTAGGGAATTTTTTCAAATACATTCTCAGCATTTGCTGATAAATGGGACTTTCTGCTTTTTTTTTTTATTAGTACAATGACATTTGATGACTTTCCCAATTTGGATTCACCTCTGTTCCTGAAATAAACCCTCATAGGCCTCCTGATTATATTAAAACTATTCAATAATTGTCCTGCACGTGAGTTATTGTAGGAGAATGCTCTTATATGTAGAATATGTAAGTTCAAGTGTTTAAGGGTGAAATGTTATGAAGTCTACAACTTTCAAATCATTCAAATAATAATAATGATAATTATGTACACATGTACCAAATAATTTATGGTACATAAATTATTTGGTTATGACCAAATAATTTGTTGCATCTAAATAAAGTGTGGGTAAGCAATCTTTTGATTATTTAAACTTTTGTGAATGAAAACTATTATGACTAAGTTTTTTTTTAAAAGGTAGGAATTTATTTACTTGTGTTGTTAGGAATTTTTACATGTATGTTTTAAACTTAAACAAGGCCCCAGTTTTGTCGTGGGGATTTTTATGGGTGCTGAGACTAGGGTAAATCTACCTTTGTAAAATAATTGAAAAGCTTTCCAGCACCTCAAAGGAATCAGCTCCTTAGGCCATCCCTAGGTGAATGTGTGACCAACTTTTAAAATTCTTTGAAGAAAATGGGCTGTTTGGAGTTTCTGTCCTTTCTAAATTTAATTTTGGTAACGTCTGTTTTCCAGAAAATTATTCATGTAAACTAACATGTCAAGTCTATAGGTATGAAGTTGTTCATTATCTTTTCAATAATTTTTGTGTACAATATTTCTTGTCTTATTCATAATAACTAAGTTTTTTATTGACTCGACAGTGTTCACCTATTTCCAAATAGAGTAATTTCCTTTTCCAAAAACCAGCTTTTAGTTGTATCCATTAACCACAGTGTTTGCTTTCCAATTGGTTAATTTTAGATTGTTCCATATTAAATTCCTCCTCCATTTCCAATGTTTAAAAAGCTTTTTTTCAATTCCTAGGTTGAATGCATGTTTTGTGTAATTTCAATCTTGCTAAATAAAGAAAAACGTTCAAGTTTTTACTGAAAACAATTAGCACAGCTGCCATAAAGAAAAAAAAACAAAAAACACTAGAGATGAAGTTAAAGTGACAGGATGGGATGAATCTATTTTCAACGTGGAGAAGACAGAGTTAAAATCCATTACATACAAAGAATACCACAAATTAAGAAAAAAATAGAAAACTTGAGAAAGGGCATGACAGAAAACCTACATCTGAGGAATTGCAATGCTCTGTGAATCTCAAAAGATATCCCTGACCTTACCTAGTCACAGGAAAAAGAGCATTCTTAATGACTTCCAATTACATCATTACTTCTATATAAATATTAAAAAAATTGTAGCATGCTTTACCTGGCATTAAATGCAGCTCTTTCACAACAGAAACCAGCAAACACCCTTCAAGGTGAAATGCTAAGCACAGCTCTTTGTGTCTCTTTTCTAGGAGAGAGGATCTTGATTGGATAATTGCAATAACATGGATTCAATGGAGAGCCATTTTCACCTATCAGCTTAGCTTTCTCCCAATTCATCCAATGATAGAAGATGCTGGGGGACTGAGAAACTTCTTAAAGGAGAGACTGGTGACAAACATCTGTTATACGGTGGTTAAGGATAATGTGTCATGAATAAAGCCTAGGAAACGATCATTTGTTTTGCCCCCTGAGCTGTTAATGGTGGTGGTTTCATTTGGCTTCACCTGATGATAGTTTGGTCAAGATGAGGGAGGCCTCCTTCTCAGCTGCCACCCAATTTGTATCAGGGTTTCCCAGCTGCCCTGAGCCTGAGAATTCCCGGGACCCTTGTTGAAAGCACAATTCACCTGGTGCTTCATGGAGGTTCGTTCCGGCAGTGGGACCAGGAGCATGGACTTTCCACGGCACCAGGGGCTTCTTCATATCAGCAAAGGTTGGGGAAACACAGCTTAATATCATTTACTCTGGGCTTCCCTGGTGGCGCAGTGGTTGGGAGTCCGCCTGCCGATGCAGGGGACACGAGTTCGTGCCCCGGTCCGGGAGGATCCCGCATGCCGCGGGGCGGCTGGGCCCGTGGGCCATGGACGCTGGGCCTGCGTGTCCGGAGCCTGTGCTCTGCAATGGGAGAGGCCACAACAGTGATGAGGCCCGCGTACGGCTAGAAATAAAAAATAAAAAATCATTTAGTCTGTGCTTATTTATTCACAGCTTCACGGAAGTATAAATGAGGTATAAAAAACAGCACAAATTTAAAGTGTAAAGTTCAATGAGTTTTGACATATGTGTATATCTATGAAAGCATCAGCACAAGATAGACATATCCATTGCCCCCCGAAGTTTCCTTATGTCCCCTTGTAATCCATGCCTCCCTCCCTCCTATATTCAAGCAACAGCTGGATCTGCTTTGTTTCTAAAAATCACTTTGCATTTTATGTAAACAGTATCAAGTATGTAATCTTTTCTGTTTTGTTTTTTTCACTTAGGATGATTATTTTGAGATTCATCCATATTGTTTTGAGTATCTGTAGCTTGTTCCTTTTTGAGAAATATTGCAAGGTATGGATATATCACTGTTGGTTTATCCATTTTCTTATATCAGGTTGTTTCCAGTTTGGGGCCACTACAAATCATTTAGGAAATTAAAGAGATAGGATAAATGCCAGTTTACTATGTTTTACTGAAAAGGAAATTTTATTGACAAAAACTTGAATACACATAGACTGGAAATATAGATTAATATTTTTAAATCCTATATATTTGAGAAAAAAATGATCAGAAAACCAATCATCCTTATGTTCGGGAGATACTGGGCTTTGAATACATTTTCTTACAGAACTTCCATTTCAGAAGTGCAAGATATTTCAAAAATATCATGGGGATGTTTCCCCATTTCAGTGGTGGAAAAGCCAAGACAAAAAGTTTATGGTTGTGTTTAAAACAATACCAAGGGATGGTCTGTATGCGATGTCAGCAGAAAAGCTGGGTACCATCTTCTAGCTCCTTACCACTTTTGGGGGGAGTATATTTTCATTTCCTGTAATGTTTCGCTGAGAAGCTGAGATAGATCAATCTATCTATATATGTATATGTATGTATGTGTATATATGTACATACATATATGCAATTTTATTTTTTAAACCATTTAGGTTTTTTTTTACTACCACGTAATAAAAAAGCCTTAGTGAAACTTTGGGAAAATCCAAAAAAATTCAACTAGAAACAAAGTTCATTACTTACCCCACCACTCAGAAACAATCACCTTAACGTCAATTTCCTATTATGTTTACTTCTTTTTGACATCAGTTCAGGGATGGTAAAATGTTTATCTTATTCTATTGCATCTTTAAAAAAATTATTGGACTTGTTTCCCATATTTTTCATTGTAAATGATTATTCTTCACTTTATCCCCTCACCTGTATGATACAAAAGTATTGGATTTTGAATTTTTGCCCTAATTTTTCATTTCCAAGAGCTCTTGCTGTTTTTGTTTTTTAGTGATGCTTTATAACACTCTATACTTACTCCATTTATACACTGTGTTTCCTACATGTCCAAAATGTGAAATGCAAGTTGAAAGATATTTTTTCTGTGTGCTGCTCTCTGCACTGTTTCTACATCCTCCAAAATCCTTCGAGTTTGCCAATCATGCCAGAAACATTCCTCAAAGGTCCTAGTTTCTGGGCTCTCCCTTCGTATTCCAGAGTGAGGCACTCAGGGTTGTCGGGTAGGGCTGGTGCACTGGGGGGATTTGTAGGGTGATTAAGTGAGTAGGTGGCATAAGTCATCATTTCATTGTGGGAACCCCACACATCTGTTGAGGGAGAAAAAACTTCTCTTTGGTCAGTTATATTAACAAGGTTTCACTCTCCATTAGGGCTGAAGGAGTGGGAGACACCTCAAAAAGGTCGAACAGAAGTGGGCAGTGTCCTCTGAGGCAGTGATCGTGATCTTAAAAGAAACCAGTCAACGTTTTGGCATGACTTATTGCTCTACTCTATAGAGTCATGTACACAGTGGGTAGCTTAAGTGGAGTTCTGATGTCCCCAGGCCTGGAGGGTTAGAAGGGACAAAAAATTAGGGGTATTCCTAATGACAAAGTGTCTCTCCTTGACCAAAGGCTCCTCTGAGTCCTCTTCCCAACCAGGACTCGAATTCTGCATTTCTGTGTTGGTCTTTGCATCACCCAATTTGAGTAGGAATCTTGCTAAGTCAGTTTAGTGAGAAACCGCCACCCTTGACAGCTGATCACATTCCTCATCTCCCTACCCCCCACCCCCAGGTGATGTCTGATCACCTTGGCCTGCCTTCTGCAAGAATCCCGTTAGGTCGGTTTAGCCAGAATCCCCCTCCCCCCCACCAAACACACACACACCTAGTGTTTCCTCAGTAATTTTCTATCCAGTGACCACCGCCCCCCTTCTCCTGGGCTATAAATCCCCACTTGACCATGTCGTATTCAGAATTGAGCCCAGCTCTATGCTGAGGTCTCTTCTCTCTCCCCTGTTGCAATAGTTCCTGAGTAAACACTGATCTTACTGCTTTAACTAATTCCTGGCTCTGGTTTTCTCGGACATCAAGAAGCAGCCCAGGACTTCCCTGGCGGTCCAGTGGTTAAGACTCTGTGCTTCCACCACAGGGGGGAAGGGTTCCATCCCTGGCTGGGGAAGATCCTGCATGCCGCACGGCACAGCCAAAAGAAAAAAAAAAAAGGCCCAAATGGGACAAGAAGGTGGTGAAGGCACTGTGAGAGAGTGAGGAGACCTAAGCAAAGGGTGGGAGAGCTCCATCACAGACAAGAACTGTCATGTGAGGGGAAGGAGAGAAATCAGGAATGATAGGTGAGGTATGTGTGGTGAGGGAATGAGGTGCCAGCAGTGATGTTCTAGGGGTCTCACAAGTAGCACTTATGACAGGATACCCACCTCCATGGTCATGTTTTGTATCTGGTGGGAGAAGAACAGGACATGGCATGTGAGGAGGGCTGTGAGCTGGGCACCTGTGGTCTTGGAGGGGTCAGCTCTGTACTTGTTAAAAATAACAAAACCTGTTAGAAGCCAGAGTTTATTTCTGCTTTAATACTCAAGGAACTTGCAGAAGGTTAAAAGACCCAATGATATCTGGGTTTAATATAATATCATAGCCAGGTGCTGATTGTTGCTGCCTTTGTTTCAAAATCCTCAGGATGACCCTGGGAAGTTCGATGCCTCACTGATTCTTCTGGCCGAAGAGGGGCGTATTCTGGGTTTCGGCATAATCCATACAAAACCATCCCTCCAGAAATGAGGATAAAAACAATGCCAGAAGCAATAATTGTCATTGAGAGGGAGAAAGGTAAATGATCAGCAAAAAAGGCCACCACAGCAATTTCAAGGAGCAAAATTATCAATCCAGTATAGAACAGACAGATGCGCTTGTGGAATTCTTGCGTTATTCTTTGAAACCAAGTCCACTGACTACGAGCTTGAGTTGCTAGAATCATGATGAGTCTTATCTGCAGGATGAGGGGTAGGAAAATTTAGGGTTAGATAAATCGAAAGGTTGACAGGAACCTGTCTCCCCATTTGGTACGACAGTGCTTTCGGATCAAATTTTCAATTATATTCACTGAGTTGCCAAGTATCCTGATGGTATAAAACAAAGGGCTACCTCCTGGACAACCTGGGAATTGACTTCCAAAGAAGACTGACAGGGGCTTCCCTGGTGGCGCAGTGGTTGAGAGCCCGCCTGCCGATGCAGGGGACGCGGGTTCGTGCCCCGGTCCGGGAGGATCCCACATGCTGCAGAGCGGCTGGGCCCGTGAGCCGTGGCCGCTGAGCCTGCGCGTCCGGAGCCTGTGCTCCGCAACGGGAGAGGCCACAACAGTGAGAGGCCCGCGTACCGCAAAAAAAAAAACAAAAAAAAAAACAAAGAAGACTGACAGAAAATCCAGGAGGATGAGTACATATTATTAATTTCCTTTAACTATTTCTTTCAGTAACCTTCATGAAACCATCTGTCACAAACTTCTAGATTATATCCAGAGAACACTATGGAATTGGGGCATGACCCATAGACCTGAGGTTTGCTAGAAGACTCAGGTTGCATTTTATTGAACTATCAGCCTAAGATGATAGTCATATTCTAGAATTATTATACAAATTAGATATAAATTAAATGGAACACAAAGAAAGTTAAGACACAGATGTAATGTAATACATGTTAAAAGCAACGTGCACTCCAGACAAAACATAACAAGGGAATTTTGACCTGCAGCCCAGGGACCAGTGTTTTCCTCTCCTCTGCCAGTAGGAGGAGCCGGGTGCAACGTTTGACCTGCAAGAGAGCAGAAAACTTCCAGATGTTTCTCACTGATGCTCTTGTCCTTGCCTGAGTGAACTGAAGGGGAGTCTTGAGTTCTCCAGGCTTCCAAGGGCCGCTTGGGAGGGGCAGAGTCAAGGAAACAGCCAGCACGTAACTCTTGTCTTGACTGGCATTTTAACAGACAGATGGGCTGCCTGCTGTCTCTGGACCATGCAGGACCCACCTGATGATGGACATGGTTTCTAACTAATGTGCTTAAGAGCCATGATCTCAACTAAGTCAAGGGAGTTTCCTCTCCCTTTTATTTATTATTATTATTTATCTTGGTTTCTTAAGCATAATACCCTTTGACAATTGAATCCTGGTGCTGGGCATGTTTTGTTACATTTTAAGAAACATTTAACTATATTCAATATCTTATAATAACCTATAATGAAAAGAACAGGAAAAAAATATATATGTATAAGTGAATCACTTTGCTATACACCAGAAACATTGTAAATCAACTATCCTTCAATTAAAAAAAAAAAGAAAAACATTTAAGAGGTAATGCCCAACTTCAAGATTATGAAGTCTTATATATGTTCCTTATTCATTTTCATCCATTGGTAATTTTTGTACATTGCTTGAATGAGAATCTATATTTTCCCTCAAAGGAATAGAAAAGTATATGTAAACCATTTGTGGAATATTTCATCCTCCCCTATTACTTAGAAATGCCGCCTTAATCATATGGACTAACTATCTATCCTTGGACATGGTTTGCCACATGCTGAGATTTTCTAGTCCTTTGTTACTTCCAAATTGTAGTGATTTAGATCCTGTTTTATGATCTGGTTGGAGTGTTTCCCCATCAACCAACAATTGACTGGAGTTTTGATTGTATTATAGCAAAATGATTTCTTAGGAAAAAGTTACATTTCCATCGTCTTCCTCCTTAAAGGGCTCTACTGATTGAATTCATCCTTATAGCCTTCATTATAATGTTATGCTTATTTCCTGCTTAACATTTTACTTCTGCTCAACTCATTTCTGTATGTATGCATGTACGTGTATAAACACACTTTTTTTTTTTTTTTTTTTGGTCTGTGGGCCTCTCACTTATTACATTTTCTAAGGGTCTGTAAACTTGTCAAATACTAAAAATCATTGTACTAGATAATCATAATGGTACTTCCCTTTTTCTTTCAATTTCTCCAGGAGTGGGTTTGGCTCCTCCGTCAAATCCACAAACTTGACATGTCCCAGCCGCTCCGCGGCGTGTGGGATCTTCCCGGACCGGGGCACAAACCCGTGTCTCCTGCATCGTCAGGCGGACTCTCAACCACTGCGCCACCAGGGAAGCCCAACACACATATTTTTTAAGTGGGATTTTTATCAATTCTCTAACTGCTAATTATACCCATAAAGGAAAACTGCTGAATTTTTGTACCATTACTTTTAGCTAGCCATTTACATTTGTGGCAAGAATTTTTAAACTCTTCATTTTAAACCTGGATGTGGGGACTTCCCTGGTGGTCCAGTGGTTAAGACTCCTCACTCCCAAGGCAGGGGGCCCAGGTTCGATGCCTGGTCAGAGAACTAGATCCCGCATGCCTCAGCCAAATAAATAAATAATAAAATATTATTAAAATAAATAAATAAACCTGGATGTGCTTGCTATATGGTCAGCTCCATAAAGAATCATTTTCCCGGGACTTCTCTGGTGGCACAGTGAGTTAAGACTCCGAGCTCCCAATGTAGGGGGTCCAGATTCAATCCCTGGTCAGGGAACTAGATCCCACATGCATGCCACAACTAAGGAGCTGGCGAGCTGCAACTAAGGAGCCCGTGAGCAGCAACCAAGACCCAGTGCAACCAAATAAATAAATAAAATAAATATTTAAAAAAGGAATTATTTTCCCAACATATGCCATTTAATTTTCCCATTTTATTATGTTACCTAGAACACTGGTCTACAAAGTGATATACTACACGTATACCCTCAAGGGACACAAAGGCCATCAACGTGGCTCATTGTCAGGGAGTTTCCTCAGACTCCACAACCTCAGCTTCCTGTGATCCTTCCTACAGCTGCCCTGCCTGCAGTCAGGGCATCCCTTTGGCAAGTGCCCTTCTCGCTCTTCACAGAAGCAAAGCATCTCATTCATATTTATCTTGCTACGGTGCAATGCATAGGGTATTAAAAATATCTGGAGCACCAAATATAGGCACAATTCAAAATGTAGGTGTTTATGTTAAGAAAGTGAATGCCTAATGATTGGGTAACTAACACTTTTGCAAGTAGATGTCTCTTATTCTTACCTGTTACCAAAAAAATGGAAGAATTAATGAAGTTGCCAGCTCAATAAGAAAAGCTGGCTGATCATTATGTGAATTTTTTGCATGTAACCTTGACAAAATTCAAAGAATTCAGTGGCACAGCTATAATCAGACTCTTTCCATTCCTATCGTTTTATGTATGTGAACAAGATTGCTTTTGCTTCTGTTTATGAAAAATAAAAGTAACAAGAGAATGGATCCCGAACCTCGTCTCATTCTAGCAGTAAGTTACATGCAAACAGGTACTAAAAAATGACAAGAGAGCAAAGAAAAGAAAAAGTGTATACATTGTGTGACTAGAGTTGCAGCTCTTAAGCAAATTTCCCTTTTTACATTTAATACCATAGTTTGTAATATGTTGTTTTGATCACATATATATTATTATAGTTGTAACACAGTTCAGGAGAAATTTTACATTAAGAACCTTATGGTCAGAAAAAATATTAAATTAAATCTATATAATTTTGTCCCAGAGAACTAACTATATATTGTGATGTTTTTTAAAAGACTTTAAAGCATAACATTCCTTGTGCAAAGGTGGTATTGAGATTTGTAGGGGAATGTCCCTAGCTGTAGGAGATGCATGTTCAAGAATTCAGGAGTGCAATATCATGGTGTCTGCAACTTATTCTCAGATGATTCAGCAAATAATAAATTATATACACCTGTACCAGTTACATCAAAATATTAACAATGTGTTGCACCTAAGTGGAGAGTAGGGAGTATTCATTGTGCCTTTTAAAAACTTTTCTAAGTGTTTGAAAATTATTATGATTAAAGGTTTTTAAAAGACATGATTTGCTTGCATGGCTAAGAATTTTTACATTATATTTTGAGTTTTGTCGGGAGGATTTCTATGGGTGCTGAGGTTAGGGTAACACTGCTTTTGTAAGATGACTGGGAAGCTTTTAGAATTAAAAGCCTTTGTCCTTTCAGGCCAACTTAGGTGGATGTGTGACCACCTTTCTCATTTCTTCTAAAAAGGTTGGTTTGTTCTGACGTTTCCATCTCTCCTTGATTCAATGTTGGTAACTTTTGGTAACACTCTTTGGTAACTTATTTAAGAAAACCATACATTTTAGGGTATTAGGCTAAGTGAAATAAGTCAGACAAAGACAAACACTGCATGATCTCACTTAAATGTGGAATCTAAAAAAATAAAACAAACAAAATGAAAACAGACTCATGGATACAGAGAACAAAGGGATGGTTGGCAGAAGGGAGGGAGGTGGGAAGTGGGTGGGTGAAACAGGTGAAGGGGATTAAAGGCACAAACCTCCAGTTATAAAATAAGCCACAGGAATGTAATATGCAGCATGAGAAATATGGTCAATAATATTCTAATAACTTTGTATTGGGACAGATGGTTCCTAGACTTATTGTGGTGTTCGTTTCATAATGTATGCAAATATCAACAGTACACCTGAAACTAATATTGCATGTCAATTATATTTCAATTTAAAAAACTCTAAAATATGGCCAGACACAGATTTAATGTATTAGCATTTGTTTAAATAAAGGCTGAGAAAAAAAATAGAAAGAAAACCATACGTTTTGCCTAAAATGCCAAGTATTACAATGATTTTTTAATAATTCTTTTCATCTGACTATATTTCTTGCCTCATTCATAAAATGCTAAATTTTTTGGCTTGCCAGGTTTAGCAATTTGTCACCTTCCTCAAGAACTAACTTTGAAACTAACACAACATTGTAAAGCAATTATACTCCAATAAAGATGTATAAAAAAAAAAACATTATGCTAAGTGAAAAACAGCCAGACACACACACACACACACACACACACACACACAAAGAACTAATTTTGAGTTTTATCTATCGCATGGTTTCAGTTTTCCA